ATACGAGCCTTAATATTCATGATACATCGGATTCTCTTTGTTTCTGAGGCATCTTTTAGAGGATTGTGAGGTAGATGCTTTCATCATAGCGAACTTTCCTACTCTAGTTTGTGATATTGTTTTTACTTGAAAGAAAACTTCATTTTAGACTTTTAATTTTATTTCAATTCTAGTCTTTACTTTAGAGACTTTTACACGTGACAACCACGATTTGAGGAATGAAAGAAATTGAATTGTTTTTCATATTAGTAATCGTTATCAGACTTTGGTTTTAATTTCCATAATTAATCAAAATTATTGGGTTAGGGTCACTTATATTGTTGGGATAAGACGAGTGCCATCATACCCATTTTTGGGTCTTGACAAAATAGTACCAGAGCCCATGTTCATAGGTCTCACGTTTATACAAGCTGAGTCTACATAGAGTTTCAAGGATCAGTATGACACGTATGTACGTATCTTTGAGAGGCTATAAAGTCTATTAGAAAACATCCTTTTGTTCATTCTTTCTCATCGTGCGTGGTTACCTTCTTTACTACTGAGTTGTTGTATACTCCTTTGACAGATGATGAGGACTAGAGTTAATGTTACTGGTGGTAGAGGTGAGGTACTTCCCGAGGCCATTTTCGATGCCCTAGCTAGGGGTAGGAGTAGATCTCGAGCTAGAGGTCGTGCTCGTGGTACGACGGTAGCTAGATGTCATGGCCATGGAGAAGAACTTATGAGAGGTCGTGCTAGAGAGGTCTCTCAAGAGCCTTAAATTGATGATCAGAGAGGACCTGGTTCCTTCTAAGCCTACAGTCACACCTTATCTTGAGGATACACTATTGAGGGTATTAAGTGTTCTAGAGGGCTCTTCTCAGGGTGGTGGTGCGACTGCCATACCACATGACTCTCATACTAGAGAAGGGGCTCAAACTCAAGAGTAGCAACAAGCTCCAGTTATTCAGGATGCAATGGGGCAGTTACCAGTGGATCCCGTGGTTCATAATGATGTTGAACCAGCAGTTGGAGGTCAAGTTACACAGGTGGTTGTTTTGACAGACGATGAGCAGCATAGGTATGAGAGATTTCAAAAGATGCACCCACCTCAGTTTCAGGGTGCGAAGAGTGATTCTCATGAGTTTCTACCTGCATGCTGAGACTTGCTAGAGGTGGTTATATTAGCTGAGTCACATAGGGTTCGATATGCTACACTCCAGCTTCGTGGGCCAGCAAGAGAGTGGTGGAGGACACATCTGGGGGTTTTGCCAGTTGGATCCCCTCCAGTGACTTGGAAGAAGTTTTCTAGTCCATTCCATGATTGTTTTATCCCTTTGAGCGTGAAAAAGTAAAGTTGCTTGATGTTTGAGAATCTGAGACATGATGGTCTATCGGTTACAGAGTACGAGGTGCATTTTTGCCAGTTGTCTGGGCATGCATTGGCCATTATACAAGATGAGATAGATAGGATCCGCAAATTTGTGAGGGGAATGACTTACTCTATCAGGTCAGCTGTGTTTCGGGCATCTAGAGAGGGTGATCCTTTCAAGTACATTATGAGCACCGCCAAAAAGGCATAATTGATAGAGAGAGAGAGAGAGAGAGAAAGGGTCTGTACATCAGGTCAATTTCATGGTGCCTCATCAGGAGGTAGGGTATCTCAAAGAGAAAGTTGTTTCTTTCAGCAGCGGGGATCCATTCATGCATCTATGTTGACATCCGAAGGTGGTCAGACATCTAGGAATTCTTATAGACAAGATCAGGGCTCGTACGATTCACAACAGCAACCTATAGGGTGAGGCAATTATAGTGCATTTTTAGGGTCCACATAGAAGTTCCTAGGTCAAACATTTTACTTTACTTGTGGCGATCTCAATCACCTAATGCGACAATATCCTTCTTAAAGAGGCCGTGGCTGGACACAACCTGATTCTACATTTCAGACTAGATCACCAGCACCACAGGGTAGAGGCTGTGGCAGATTTAAGTCAGGTAGAGGTGATAGAGTTTCTATTAGTTGTGTTGCAGTGCAGCAGAGTGAGGGTAGAGGTATAAACAAGGCATGAGGTGGTCACCATTATGCTTTCCCAGGGAAACTTGAGGTGGAGACCTCGGATGCTTTTATCAAAGTCATAATCCCCGTATTCCATCGACCTTTTATGTGTTTTTTTATCAAGGGTCTACATTCTCTTATACGTCTACCTATTTTTCTATTGAATCGAGTGTATCAATCCTGTCTTGTTTCTTTGGTTGGGTATAACACTTAGGTAGACTTAATCATTGTTAGGATGACAGACTTTGATGTTATCTTGGGTATGAATTGGCTTTCTCCCTATTATGTTGTCCTTGATTGTGATGCTAGGATTGTGAATTTAGTGATTCCTGGAGTTCTGAAGGTTGAGTGGAAAGGTGTTAGTGGTTCTTATCGTTGCAAGATTATTTCTTTTATCCGTGCTCAGATATAGGTGGGGAGAATGTGTTTGTCTTACTTAGATTTTAATCAGGATACTAGTGTTGAACCACCTCTCATGGACTCTCTTCCCGTAGTTCAGGAATTTCCCGATGTATGTCCTTCTGATCTTCCATGTGTTCCTCCTGATAGAGACTTTGACTTTGCTATTGATTTGGAGTCGGGCACTAATCTTATTTCTATCCCTTTATACCGTATGGATTCAACAAAGTTGAAAGAGTTGAAGGATCAGTTGCAGGATTATTGAGTAATTTTATTCGCCCTAGTGTGCCACCTTTGGGTGCCCCTCTATTATTTGTGAAGAAGAAAGATGGGAATATGTGGATGTGTATTGATTATAGACAGTTGACCAAGGTAACAGTGAAGAATAAGTATTCCCTTTCGCATATTGATGACTTGTTTGGTCATCTACAAGGAGCATCATTGTTTTTTAAAATTGATTTAAGGTCCGGGTATCATCAGTTGAAGATAAGGGAATCAAATATTCTTAGGACAACTTTTCGGACTCAATATGGGCATTATGAGTTCCTAGTGATGTCTTTCGAATTGTCTAATGCCCCTGAGACATTCATGGAGTTAATGAATGGGGTGTTTCAACCATACCTTCATTCTTTTATGATTGTTTTCATCGATGATATCTTCGTTTACTCCAATACAGAGGACGACCATGCTCGACACTTGAAAAAGGTACTTCAGAGGTTGAGAGAAGTTGTATGCCAAGTTTTCAAAGTGTGAGTTGTGGCTTACTTATGTGGCATTCTTGAGACACGTGGTCTCCAAGGAGGGTATTAGAGTAGATCCGGCCAAGATTGAGGCTGTTAGAGGTTTGACGTGACCTGCTTCACCTAATGAGATTACGAGTTTTATGGGATTGGAAGTCTATTATCGACAATTTGTTCAGAGTTTCACTACTATTGCAGGTCTATTGACTAGATTGACTCTACATTATATCAGTTTTAAGTGGTTCTATGAGTGTGAGGAGAGCTTTCAAAAGCTCAAGACTTTGTTGACTTCGGATCCTTTATTGACTCTACCTGAGGAGGGTGTAGATTTTTCTTTGAATTGTGATGATTCATGAGTTGGGTTTGGTGGTGTGTTAATGCAGAAGAGGAAAGTTATTGCTTATGCTTTTAGGCAGTTGAAATCCCATGAGAAGAACTACCCTACTCATGATTTGGAGTTGGCGGCTGTCATATTTGTACTTAAGTTGTCGCGTCATTATTTGTATGGGTGAATTGTGAGATTATCGTTGATCACCGGAGTCTTCATTATATCTTCAGTCAGAGGAATTTGAACATGAGGCAAATGAGATAGCTTGAGTTGCTTAAGTACTATGATGTGACCATTTTGTATCATCCAGGGAAGGCTAGTGTTATGGCTGATGCTCTAAGTAGAAAGTCTCCTAGCATGTGGATATTTGCAGCGCTTAGTATTGAGAATAGACCATTGGCTAGAGATTTGCATATATTAGCAAACAGGCTTGTCCGCTTGCAGATTTCAGAATAGAGTGATGGGATGATTTCTTTTATAGAGGCCCGATCTTCTTTAGTCGAGAAGATCCGTGCACACAATTTTGATGATGAGAAGTTATGTCTCATTTGATACAAAGTATGAAGAGGGTAAGATAAGGAGGTTGTCCTTGATTTTGATGGTGTCTTGAGGGTCGAACGCATGATTTATGTGTCAAAGACGGGAGATTTGATTAGATTAACTCTTGAAGAGGCCTATTGTTCTCGATATTCCATCCATCCAGGGGCAGAGAAGATGTATCATGATCTGAGTCAGCATTAATAGTGGTGTGGATGAACAGAGATATTTTAGACTTCATTTCGAGGTGTTTGACTTTCCTGCAGGTCAAGTGTGAGCATCAACGGCCTGGGGGTGTTTCTCAAAGGATGCCTATTACTAATTTGAAGTGGGAGTAGATTACTATGGACTTTGTTGTGGGTTTGCCTACGAGAGTTGGTGGTTATGACTCTATTTGGGTTGTTGTTGATAGGCTGACTATGTCTTCCCACTTCATTCCGGTTCGGGTGAAGTATACGGCAAAAAACATAGCCGAGTTATAGATCATTAAAATTGTGCGACTACATGGAGTGCATGTTTCTACCATATCAAATCAAGGTTCACTATTTACTTCTCACTTCTAGAAGGAATTACAGCATGGTCTGGGTACTTAGTTTGATATGAGTACAAACTTTCACCCTCAGACGGATGGTCAGTCTAAGCGGACGATTCATGTCTTGGAAGATATGCTTCGAGCGTCTGTAATCGATTTCGGTGCTATATGGGATCAACATTTACCCTTACCATAGTTTGCGTACAATAACATTAACCTCCCTACTATCTAGTGGCCCCATTTTAGGCTTTGTATGGCATAAGGTGTAGACCTCCGATTGGTTGGTTTGATTCGGAGGAGATAGACTATTTGGATTCAGACTTGCTTAGAGATACTATAGAGCAGGTCCGTATGATTTAGTATAGACAATTGACAGTTTAGAGTCGACAAAAGAATTACGTAGACCGGAGAGATAGAACCTTAGTATATATGGATGGTGATCTTGTTTGGCTCCGAATATCACCCATGAAGGGTGTGACGAGGTTCAGAAAGAAGGAAAAGCTTAGTCATAAATTCATTGGACCTTTTGAGATTTTATGTCGAGTGGGAGAGGTGGACTATATGTTTCCCTTGCCACCTAGTTTGACAGCAGTTCATCATTTTTTTCATGTCTCTGTGCTTCAAAATTATATTGGGGATGAATATCATGTGCTTTCACTTGATTCTGTGGACTTGGGTCAAGATTTGATATTTGAGGAGGAGCCTACAGTCATACTAAATAGGAAGGTTCGAAATCGTAGGACCAAAGAGGTTGCTTCAGTGAAGGTGGAGTGGAAGCACCGATCAGTGGGAGGCAAGATAGGAGACAGAGTCTGACATGCGTGCCAGATGTCCTCAACTTTTTGAAGCTTCAGGTACTTCTTTCGCCTTATGTCTGGGGACAAACATGATTTTTAGTGGTGGATAATGTAATAACAAGGACTCAAAAAGTCATTTTTGGCAATTTTGAATAATCATTTAACTATAGTTAATTAATTTCAGAGTAATTTAATCATTTTTAGTAATAGTGTGGCAAATTAAAAATAATAAAATAGGTTAGTGGAAATTGTTAGTTCCAATACCTAAGTATTTTTAAAAAATATAAGAAGGGGACCTAAGGCGGCATCGATCACGAGAGCAGGTATGTGCTTTCAATGAATGGGAATTTTGGATGGATTACCTGCATGATTACACAATATTATAAGTATGTATATATATAGGAATGTTAGTATATGATGGGTAGAAAGAGAAAGAAAATTAATTTACCTATTCTAGAATTATTAGTTATTTTATAACTATTTGGTTGTTGTTTAAAAAAATGTAATGATGGTCAATGACTGCTTGGGAATATCAACCAATAAAAATTAGGATTATTGTTGGTTGCAAAGTAGTAGGGAATTATTATTTTTTTAGTTGTTTTCTAATTGTTACATTATAAATTGAAAATTTGAATTTTTTTTTGTTATAAATGTTATGTGTACTATTGGATCATTGGGAAAAGAATAAAAAAAGGTAAATAAATGTTAGTCATTAATGAATTGAAAGGAAATATGCTTTATTGTGTGCTACGTGGGTCCTTGGAAATTATTGTGACTAGTTTTTTTTTAAAAGAGTACTATAATAGGTGTTTGTTGATGTACATGTGATGGTAGCAATTAGAAAATTAGGAAGAGTGGATCCGGTGGGTGCAAATTATTTTTTTGAGGGGATTATGAAGTTGTGTTCTCCCCCTGAATGCTTAGTTGGTTTAAATTCTTATTATTATCACATTATGTGTTATGTTTTGGTATATAAAATAGGTGACTAAATATTAGATCTATTGAGTCATACAAATATCATTCGATTTATGATATTACAAATTAATAGCAACATACCATAAACCTGAAACTTAGAAACTTGATTATAAATTTTGGTGAATTCTTAATGTCAAGGTTAAACACATAATAATGTGGGTGTTGTCAGTTCCAAAACCGTATAGTAAATATATATGTTTGAGTAGGTTGCATCGATTCGGATGCTCAACGGAAAGGGAAGGCTCAAATTTTGGACTGATTATTCAATTGGCGAAGACAAGTAAATTTCTAAACCCTTGTTAAGCGTATGAAATTCATGTATTTCCTGTGTGGTGTTGAGAATGATTTGGATACTTGCTACCTATTTGTTGATGTTGTATTTTTTGTTGTAAATTTGGTTATCAAAACGGTTATCTCCTCATTCCCATTTGAGCATGTCATTTGCATTGCATGAGAGACATGGTTGTGATAAGAGTTATGTTCTAAGAGGATGTACCATTTTGAGGGTCGTATTGCGCTCCACGATGGATATTATCTTTCGAGGGACCTATCGCGCCACACAATGGTTACTATTATTGATGGTTTTATTGTGCGCCGTGGCAGATGCATGGACAGATATGTCTCCCGTCGGTCCCAGACTTAAAGACAGTGGGTGTGTATCCTTAGGGAAGTCATGCATCATTATATTTGACATTGCATCTCATGGCATTACACATTTTTATTATTGATGAGCTTGAAAACATGTTTTTTTGATCTTGTGAGTGTTACTTTTGGAAACTTGTGACTATTGAATACTGAGTTGTTATTGAATATATGTAAACTGATCGAATATGGTTGTTGAGTTGTGTGCTTGGTAAACGGTGAATTGTTAGGCTGTAGTGTGAAGGTTTAAATAGGGAGTAAGGACTACTCGTATTTTTTTTAACTTCACTTGTGTTTAGAGGTATTATTGTTGGGTACCATGTGGTTTGGTACTCATTCCCTGTTTCAACAAATTTTTGTAAGATACGAGCCCGGATATTCATGATATGTCCCAGACTCTTCATTTTCAAGGAAACCTGTGGAGGATTGTGAGGTAGTTGCTTATCATCTCAGTATACTTTCCTACTCTAGTTTTTTACTTTGTTTTTACTTGAAAGACAAATTTATAGTACACTCGTATTTTTCTTTAAATTCTATTATTTACATTAAAGGCTTGTGTACGTGACAACTTGGTTTTGGGGAATGAATTAAGTTAAATTGTTTTCATATTAGTAATCTTTATCAAACTTTGGTTTATTTCTGTAATTTATCATAATTATTGGGTTAGGCTGACTTGTCTTGGAGGTATAAGAAGAGTGCCATCACACCCAGTTTTGGGTCATCACAGTAATTATGAATTCTATTTTGTGAGGTGTTACATAACTCGTTAAGGAATCAATGAGATCTCAGAATTGAATTTGGGTAAGTACAACTCCATAATCAAACTTAGTATAAGAGGTTTATTTTTTAAAGTCGTTGGTTAGAGGTGTGTTGTTAAAATAGAAATTGAATTTTCTCTAATTTTCTCATTGGTTAGGAAATCCCGCATTGGCTCTGGGTTGTACTACGATACCGGCTGTTGTGGTGGGTTGAGATTTTTATTAAAATCGTAGGTGAAATATTAAATGCCAATAGTACGTTCCAACCGCATTGGGACTTTCGTCGCTCTGACACTGCCACTACTGCAGAATGAGGGTCGTCGTGGCCGGCCAAAGGTGATATAATGTCGTTATGAACCCCTAAACGACCCCCATGTGATTTCTACATGTTTTTCACTATTCTTGAGGCTAAAGGTAAGATTTCCATCCCCGTATCCATTTTTCAATCCGTAGAACGAAATAAAATGTGTTCAAATTGAGGGGGAAAGGTTTTGTAATAGATTCTATGATGGAGCTAACTCGAAACCGGTTCGTTCGAATCATGGATTTGATCTAGGGTTCATAAAATATTGTTGTTTTTGCTAATTAGCAATTGTTTGTTGATTCCCATATTATTGTGATTGTTTGTAGACCAAGAACAAGCGAAACGAATCTAGAAAGGCAATGATCAAGTCTCTTAGGGTTTCAAACTTGTTTTAAGGTAGGTGATGGTTGTGATTCTATGATTGTATGATGTATTGTCGTTTTTTCTTTATAGTGATACTTGTATCTAAATTAATATTGCAATATTAATCATACTTGTTGTAAATGAGATAGATGAGTTATCATTACCATGAAATCACGACTTACATGTATGATCTTAATTATGTAGTTGTGATTGTGATTGATGTGTGTGAAATGGGATCGGACTGCCACATTTCGGCAAGCTAAATGGGATTGGTTTGACACGTTCCAACGCAACTGTGGGATCAGCTTTCACATTCTAGAATAAAAATGGGATTTGATTTCTGGCAAGCTAACTGTTTGATTTTGGGTTCCATGAGAGGACCAATGAGGTGATACAAAATGAGTAATGCGTTGTTGATATTTCATGTTGATAATATTGTGTATGTTGATATATATGCATATGATTATATTGATGTTTGAATTATTTATGTTACACTAGCAGGATAACCATATGATCCTACCAGTACAGTATGGTTGTGTATTGATACTGCACTTTCCGTTGCATTGTTAAGTACCTGACATCTTCATATGACTATTGAGAGACCTCTCCGAGAAGTTCAATGATCGTCACTTCGGACTCGAAAGTGAGACAATTCTTCCGAGCTACCATTCGATTCTCTTTAATCTATGTCTACCGTTTCGTGACTTAGACATCTTTATAGATAATTGAATAGTTCATTAGTTTAGGGATGTATGGATCATGTTGGATGTTTTGGTACATTTTGACTTTCAAGTTCTAGTTTTATCTTCTACATAGTTAATTCATAGATCAATTGGTGACGTTAATGAGATTTTCATTAGTTAGTATTCAATTCTTGTAGTTTAAATGCCTTAGTTTTTTGTATAGTTGCTTGTTTGAGTTGTTGTAGTCGTTCTCCCACCAAAGAGTTAGTGCGCCTGCAAAACACGGCGGTCTGGGTCGTGTGAATTCTCTCGCACCAAAGTACTTTTTTTTAACCTTTTTCTTATTATCCCTTATTTCGCGTATCCCTTCTCAAGGATCCTTAATGTTTTTTTTTGTGCAACTTCAATTTGAAAACTTTATCCTTCTATATTACACATGAAATTTGGATTTTGGAAGACTTGATTATAATTTCGAAAAACATAATGGCTAAAGATTACTTATTGGTATATCATATGATTATGGAACCTTTGCTCTTGTTAAACACATTAGTTTATATATATATATATATATATATATATATATATATATATATATATATATAATATTTTAATATTTCTAAAGTAATTGACAGTATTATACTAAAAAAAAGTATGCAAAGAAGAATTTGAGAGATATATTTCTTTGACACTTTAATTAAAAAACTATGTATCTAGATGATAAAAATAAACTAACCATTGTAAAATTTCAAAAGCAAATTAATGAATCTGTAAAATGAAATTATGTAAACTAAGAGAAAATAGTGTTATCATTTGTAATTTTGTCTGTTCTTTTAATAAAAAAAATGGTAAAGTATAATTGAATGACCTCTAACTCTTGAAAATAAATTTATATAAAAATACTTTAACATAAAAATATAAGAAAAGTTATATTCTAATAAATTTTAACGAAGAATGTTCTAACAGACATTTACTTTTATATAGAAGAGAACCAAAAGTCTGCCTATGTGGTGCCACCACAAATAAGGATTTCTTTTTAATTTATTTTTTTCCAAAACTAGTCTTTTCTTTCAATGAAAAGTTATGTCTTTTATTATTAGTTGTGACTTTAATAAGAGGTTGTGAATTTTATGAAAGATAACATTTAAGAAAGTTTGCGACCTTTTCGATGAGTTGTGATTTTTCCAAAGAGTTGTGACCTTCCCTATAAGACACAATAAATATTTGTTCACTCTACACTTGATGTCTATATATAGAGGGGATTCATCTCATTTTTTAACAAGGAAAATTCAGAACT